TACCGCCCACCATGAAAGCAGGAACGCCCACTAGTGGGCGGTAGGGACCAGGTTGACTACCACTGCTTTAGAGCATAGTGTCAGCTTAAAAAAACCTCCATTCATATTTCAGTTCTTAAAGAAGTTCATTAAGCTCTTAAAACAGTCTTTAAGACAGGAATGGGCACTAAGGTACATAACTGAAAATGTCCAAGCTTTTCCTGTTCACATGGACTTAGTTCTTTTGCTGGTAGTATGTGGCGTTATGCTTCTAACTGTTTTAGGGTATAAAACTAAGCCAATCAGACAATTTCTCAGGTGGCTTTATTTCAAAATTAATAAATTAAGCAAAAACCATAAACACCAGAAGGAAGGGAGGGAGGGAGGGGGGAGGGAGAGAGGCTCATAACATTCAAGAAGAATGCCAAGACTATATCTCTGCAATAAAATCAGAATATATCTGAAATATATGATTAAATGCTACACATAGTACCTACCTTTCATTTGATTGGGACTTCTAGTATCACTACTCTACTTTTCATATTTTATTACACTATGCTACGTTAAACTACATTGCACTGTGTTACAGTATACTATAGTATTTAATGTCCAAGTCGAAAATACTCCAGGGGTAGTTTACAGATATCAAAAGGATGGATGGATGGATGGATGGATGGATGGATGGATGGATGGATGGATGGATGGATGGATGGATGGATGGATGGATAGTACAGTATCTTTCATACATACCAAACATCCACAAAAATTTATGAACAAACTCATAATGCTTTGTCCAGGAAAAGACAGGGAGGGTATATCATATTTTAGCATCTGAACTAATGAAGTGAAGATAGCAATTGCAATAGCACTTAGATTTATATACCGCTTCACAGTGCTTTACAGCCCTCTCTAAGTGGTTTACAGAGTCAGGCAGCATATTGCCCCTAATAATCTGGGTCATGAAGGTTTCCCTGTGGATTGCATTCTACAGATGGGAACCCTTTAGAGAGAAAGCTTTCTTTCTCCTGTTATTCTAAGACATTTCAAGAGAAATGCTCACAATATTTATCTCAACAGTCAGACAGAAACAGACTTTCCATGTGGTCATCCTTCACTGTTCAAAACCCTTGCTGTACTGCTCAAAGATCTTTACAATCTTTAAAATTAATGTGAAAAAAATGCTACAATTTCTGTTTGCTCTTGTTTTTGACTGAATCATAGAAGTATAGCAAACCTTTGGGTGAAATGTTCTGCAGTTATGCTGCCACCCTTCTAAAAAATAAATATGGTTAGCATCTTAACCATCTGAGATTGTATCAAAGGCTATGTTTACATTAACAGAAAACATGAGCAATTGTGCAACGCAGGGCCTTTGATTTTCAAGATCTTCACCCATTTCCTGTTCTGAAGAGCTGCCTTTGATAGTCAAAGGGATACAAGTTCCAGTGTCTCCCAAGGGATATCTAAGTAAAACATATGCAATGGTAGTCCATCCAAAATAAACCATGTTTAAAAGGTTCAGAGAAGGGTTGGAATTTTTTGGTCAACAGTTAAACAACTGGGAAAGCAACAGTCTAAACTAAGAATCACAGCAGAAATTACATAGAACACTTAATGGCCAAATTCTGAGATTTTCTGATATTTTTTTTTAAAGCATGGTTCTACTTCTGTGAGATGTAGTGTTTCCCATTACTACCTGTCTTCTTCACCTGTCTTCATTTCTCAAGAAAAAAGAGAGAGAACTTCAAGTTTCTGGGGAAAAAATAATGTCTGTGGAAATATCCCCTTGCTTTTGAGCCATTTAAGAAGAATTGTTATTCCTCCAAACCAACTATATAACTGTCTTATATAACATAAGAGCTTGTATTATATTACTGATAAGTGTTTGCTTTCTTCATCTTGCAGCAATGTTGATTCCTTCAGATTTTCTTTACCTCAATACATTGCAAAGGGACATATTGTCTGCAGCCTTAAGGGTCAAAACGTCTAGAGGGCACTAGATATATATTGCTGCTTTTGTCTATTTTAGTTAAACACTAACATATGTCAGTGAGAACAAAGAGCAGTATAACTGCATGCTTTTCATGTCTTACCTTTAACACAGTCACAGCTGTACCCAAGTCAGCTACTTTATGGTCTTTATGCTCCTCAAAAAGCTTATCCTCAGAGGAGATGGGACATTTGCACTGGTAGCAGTAGGTATCCAAATGGGCTTGATCAACTTCTTTCTGTAGAAATTCATATTCTGGTACTTTTCTTTGTAGCATTTCAAGATCAAGCGATTCAGTCGTCTTTTCTTCAGCATACATTTTTGCCTCTCCTTCATTCACAAATTCGTAAGTATCACTAATGCCATCTAGGGAATCTTTATCATCAAAAAGCAATTCTTCATGAGCTATTTCTGAAGAGATTTCCTCCTGAAAGACATCATCATGGGTAATCACTTCGTAGTTTAAGAGCTCTGCTAGATCCTCGTCAATGTCACTGTCCTCTTCCTCTTTTATTGAGTATAATGGGTAGGTGTCAAAATCATGTGACAAAAGAGAATAGTCAACTTCCCCAATTTGTTTATCAGATTTTACCCCTGCTGCTAACTGGTCTGGTGTGTCATACTGCATTAGATGCTGGGCACTATTTTCTCCAATTCCGCTCTCCAGTTTTTGCACTTCAGTGTCCAAACATGGAAGATCTTTGTGATCTAAAACCTTTGTATCTTGCATTGGGGGCTCAACTAAAACATATGTATCTTCTAATTGTCTTTCCTCTTGCCTCTCAGCCTGGCCTAATCCTTCAAGAGACTGTGCATTTTTTCCTGCAATCTTTACAAGTTCACCTTCATCCATTCCATGAACTTCTTTTATTTCAGACTGTTGGTTTTGGATGATTGCATATCCAGCATCATTACTTGATCCATCTTGCCCAGCTGATTCAGTTTGATATAGAGTTGCTGCATAATCAAGTATTGGACTGCACTCTTCATCACTTGTTTCTTCTGGTACCTGCTGGCCTGTGTCATCAGATAAGGATTCTTCTTCTCTTCTCTGACTACTGTCATCATTGCTGGCTCCTGAGCTATAGAACTCTCTTCCGAAAGGAATTGCATGTGTTTCCTGACAAATCCTAATTTTTATGTCACTCACAACCTCAGTTACCCCATTTGTAAGTGTATCACTCACACATTCCTCCACTTGGGCAGATAGACCAGGTTGCATATCTGCAGATTCATTCTTTTTTCCATTTGGTTCATAAGTATCTTCTGCGACTTTTGGTTGGGTTACAGTTTCCTCTTTAAAAGATTGACCATTTAAAATGTCTTCATTCTTGGATTCTTCCACATTATTTGGAGTGTAATCTCTAGGAATTTCTTTCTCCAGATGTGTTTCAATCCCATCATCTGGAATATGATCTCTGATATGAAAAGACAGATCAATATCCTTAACTTCTTTACATTTGTGGTTATCTTTTTCAGAATCACCTGCTTCTTCTTCATAGAAATCTTTACATAAAAATGCCAAGGCAGGTGGCATCTCTAGAACCTCAGATTCTATTACAGTTATTGGCAAGGAAGCAGCTGGAGTCTGAGACAACTCATCTTTCTCAGTATTAAATAAAACTGCATTAATGTTTGCTAAGTTCAATTCATGCTCTCTGCTTTTATCATCATCCCTAACAGCTTCAATCGTTTTATTTTCATTTGCTGTTTTTGAAATGTCTTGATGGGTAGCTGTTGCATTTTGTTTTTCTATCAATCCATTAGGGGCTTTATTTAATTGTCTTTCTAATAAAGACAGCTCCACAATATTTTTTGATTTTGCTGCTGGATATGCCACTTCCACATATTGTTTATCTATATCATCAAATGGCCTCTCTGTGTCCTGAATAGACTTTTCTTTTTCTATTTGGGTGAAGGATGTATTTTCAATCAAAGTATCCTTTCTGACATAATCAATATTGGCATTATTAAAAACATTATCATCCTTGCTCCCTGGAATAACAGAAACCTCTTCCATTTCTCTGCTTTCCTTAATACTCTTCCCTTTTTCAATTTCCTTTGATTCATTTTCTGTCGTTTCATGGTGATCTACCTTTAACTCCACTGTATATTGTTTATTTGGTTTGTAGACTGAAGGTTCCTTATCAACAACCACATCTCTAGTATCATTACATGCTTTTGTTTCCAACAATGAAATGGTTTCTACTGCCTCTGGTATAAGCTTTTTTCTATCAACAGAAGAAATGAGAGGAACATTAGTTTTCACAACTTCACCACTTTCAGAAATATTAACTATGTCTTTTCTTTGATCAAGATTAGGAGCTGGTAAGGCTTCTTCTCTGAATTTCTGTTGATCTTTGAATTCCTTCTCTTTACTCAAAGAGTTTTCTGGCACTTTCAAAGTATCCTCCATGGTAGGCAACTGTTTTGTTTCTTCTGCTTTTGAAAGATGTTCTGTACTACTAATGACTCTGTCTACCTGGGGTTCTGATTCAAAATGTCTTGGAGAAAACTCAGTGTTCCTCTCTGCCACTGCATTTTTATCAGAAAGGGCAGTTGAACCATTTATTGAGTCAGCATCCCCAAAAGGAGCTTGAGTTTCTAAATTCTCTTTTTCTGAGATCTGTGGGGAAAAGGTTTCTATTGTCTTTGCCTCAGAAAGAAGGAAAGCAGCAATGGACATGGGTTCTTCTGGCATCTCCTTTGTTATTTCAGTTGTACAAGTCTGAGTTTCTTGTTTCTTTTCAGGGTCCAATGTAGCAGAGTTGGATGGGCTCAATAAAGATGTTGAGACTAAAGAAGGATACAAATTCTCTTCTGGCTCTTTCACTTTCTTAGTGAAAAGAGATGAAATGTGTGGCTCTTGTTCAGAAGTCTGATTTTGTTCCTCAAATGAATAAAGTTCTGGTTGTTTTGAATAAGAAAAATCTAACTGTTTAGTATCCAGAGATGCAGTGAATGGTGGATGCAGATCAAGTTTCATTTCATTTTCTAACAAAACAAATGGTTTACCTTCTATTTGGGTGGCTTCAGACCGCGTTATCTGCATTTCTTGTTTTTTGGCATCATCCATTAACTGTGATAATACAGAAACACCAGAATCTATCTCTTCAGTTTTAGGCAGATAATCCTCTTGTTCTTGGGGTTTCATATCAGCCAATTGGGATGAATCTTCAAGAGTTGCAGAACAGTAAAGCTGAATTTCTTCCAGCTGTGATTCTTTAACTGGTTGCAACAAATTGTCATCTTTCAATGGTGCATCCTGGTCTTTTGAGCATTCGGTCTCAGAAGTTCTTCGTTTTTGGTCTTCTTTTTCTTCATGGCAATATAATATTCCTTGAGGCAAAATGGGAGGTGAATATAAAGCAGTTTCTTGCTTGGGTTTTTCTTCAGTGGAATTCAATGAAGTGAGACCTTCCAGCTCTGATTGCAATACCACAGGGCTATATAGCTTGCTATCCTGGCTCTCGGTTTCAGAATGTTGAGTAACAAGCAAATGAAATTGAGTTTCTTCCACATTTGATTTCCTAACAACCGCATCCATTGGTTCTTTGTTGAAAGCTGAATGAGGCTGCACTTGTTTCTCTTTTTCAGGAACAGAACAAGATGAAATAGGTTCAACAAAAACATATTCTGCAGACCGTGCTGCCGAAACAGGAGGCTGTTCACTTATTTCTTCAGATGTAGCATCATCTAGAAGGGATCTGGATTCCTCAGACACAGTTTTTGTGGCCATGGATGAATGCAGTGGTTCTTTGCTGACCTCCTCTACAGAGGAAGTTGTGAGGAGCGGTAAATCTTGAAACTCGGGGACAGAGAAATTATTTTTTCCTATTTCAATTTGGTCCATAAGTTCTGAAGAAACAGCAGTGGATTGCTGTGAAGCTGGTAGTGAACTTACTACTGACTTGGTAAGTATTGCCTGAGGCTTTATTTTATCAGGGACAAATGATAAAATTAATGGTGGTGATTCAGATGCCTCATTTAATGTCTTAGACAAATCATTTTGATTTCCCTGCGTTTCTGAAGCAGAACCTTTTAATTTAGATGTTGGAATTATGGGTGCACTGCATTCCATTTCTTCCCTATCGTTTTTAGATGATATTGGCTGTTCATCTTCTGAGTCTGCTGTCACAGATACAGGCATTTGAAGGCCTTCTCCTTCTGCGCTTGAAATGGGAATGGATGCATCTAAATGTTTTCCCAGTTCAGGCATCTCAGTTGTGGAAGGAGTCTCCGATTGTGCAGTTATAAGTTCAACAGGATGTTTTGCCAGGTGCTTTGATTCTGGATCAACAGTGCCATAATGCTCTGTATCAGCTTTATTGAGTTGCATGCTTAAAAATTCAGGATCTTTGGCTGCAGTTCCTGAAATACCTTGATTTTCTTGCACATCTGTTAAATAAACTGACTGAGATAAAGCCTGCCTAGTTTGGGGCAAAGGAGGCTGGGTCCCATTGATCTCCTTTTTTTCTCCTAATTGCATTGTATCCACTTCTACGGGTAAGAGTGTTTGTGATAAATGCCAAAGAGTTTGCTGCTGAACATCATCTGTCTGTGGTGGCTCAAAACCAGGATATAATGAATCAAGTTGCAACGGCTTGATGATAGGTTTATCAGGTTGCATAATTTCCTTATGCATTTCATTGACAGAATGCAAAGCAGTTGTTCCTTCCAACAGGGATGAAACAGTAGAATTCTGCTGTATAAAATGCTCCCTTGATTCAGATTCCAATGGTTGCTTCGGTTGATCTTCACTTGTTTCACAAGAGGGTTTAGCTTGTTTTTCAACATCTGACTGTGCATTTATAGTGGGGTGCAGCTGATTTTCTGAATTCAATTCTTGCATTTGGACAGGTGCTTCACCTGGGTGTTGTACAGATACAGTGGGGGAAAGTTGCCCTGTTTTTGTACCTATGTCAATTTCGGTCTCCCTGGAGTTAGATGCTAATTCTTTTGCTAGGCCCTCTGTGGATGACAAGGATAGATTTTCTTCCTTTGTTGTTTCAGCATTTTGGAAAGACCCAGTAGAAAATGAAACTTCTGCTATTCCAGAAGTTAATTCAGTAGAATCAGACCAATTGCTTTGTTTTTTCATTTGCTGAGGCAGGCAGGGTATATTAGAATCTGGCTGTTCAAACAATGGTGCAGTACCCTTTAGTGAGGGTGGCTCTGTCCCATGCATTTCCACACTGGCAATAAGAAAAGATGGAGTAGATAGCAACTGTTCTGATGAGCTGACTGGCTCAGTAACTTTGTCACTGAAAAGTAATATCTCTTCAGGTTCATGAGGTGCCTTTATGGATTTGGAGATCACAAAATGTTCTGGTTCTGACTGTGCTGGTGCTGTAGAGTGTTGTTGAGCCTTTTCCTCCTGTGCATTTGTAACTGAGAGTGTGGAATCTGGACCCAAAGATTCTGTTGAGGCAAGCAGAGTCTCTGTTTTGTCTCTTACATGTTTTCCTTCTGAGACAGTGGTTAGAGATGGCTGAGTCTGAGCAGCTTGTCTTGGCAAGTCTGATTTCAATTTTTCCTCTTCTGCAGCTTCTTCTTTAGCCGTAGTATAAGAAGACTCTGAAAGTCCGATGGGTTCTTCCACAGTGTTATGGATTTCCTGTGTTCTGGAAGCTAGATCAGGTTCAAGTTCAGTTTCTTCACCGTCTGATTTGTGGACCAAGGGAAGGTAGCCTGACTTTCTTTGGGAAAGCAGAGTGAATTGATCCTCCACCTTTGTTTTGTCTGACAACTGTTCTATTTCTTGCTCTCCTCCTTCTCTAACAGGATATGAAAATCTTGCCTTTTCAGGGATTGCCTCTTTGGTTTCAGGTAAATAAAGAGGGACTGCGGGCTGTTTTGTTTCTCCAACAGAATGCTCCAAGGGTGTAGCACTGACTTCCATTTCTGAAGGAATTGCAGATTCCATAGTCTGATTTCTAATTTCAGCTAAATCACACACGTCAGATTCACCATCAAATATGGGTTCAGATTCATGAACTTTGGATGTGTGTTCCAAACACTCAAACACAGGTAGCTGTTCTGTTATTCTTTCAAAAGGTGCAGTTAATTTATTCTGTAATTGTTCCTTTTCTTTATATTCCTCTGCCAGCTGTTCTTTTTCTTCCCTTTCTGCTTCTTTAACAGAAGATGGTAATTTTGATTTTTCACGGATGACACTTTTAGTTTCAGCTGAATCAAAAGAAAACTCTGCTCCAAAAGAATACTCCATTTGAAGCGGAATTGTGGATTCCATAGTTTGATTTCTAATTTCAGCAAAGTCAGACACTTCAGGGGCTGCTAAATGAGTTGCAGGTTCAGTTTCGTGAGCTTCAGACTTGTGGTCCAAACAACCAAACAAGGGTAGCTGATTTAACTTTGTTTCAAAAGGTGTAGTTGCTTTATCCTGTAACTGCTCTTTTCCTGAATATTGTGCCGTCAAATGTTCTTCTTGATTTTCTCCTTCTTTAACAGAAGATGGTAATCTTGCCTTCTCAGAGACGGCATGTTTGGTTTTAGTTGAATAAGGAGGAACTTCTTGCTTCTCAGCTTCTCCAGCAGAAGGCTCCAAGGGCTCATCTTCCACTTCCATTTGTGAAGAAATGTTGAATTCCATAGCTTGATTTCTAATGTCAAGTATTTCTGACACTTCAGGCTCCTCACCTACAGCTGCTAAATCAGATACAGGTTCAGTTGCATGATCTTCAGCGTTATGGTCTTGACAACCAAGCAAAAGTAGTTGGCCTGGCTTTGTTTCAAAAGGTGCAGTTAATTTGTCCTGTAACCTTTCTTCTTCTGAACATTGCTCTGCCGGATGTTCTTCTTCTTCTTGCTTTTCTCTTTCTTTAACAGAAGATGGTAACCTTGCTTTTTCGTCTTTTGTTTCAGTTGAATAAAGAGTAGTTGCTTCATTGTCTGCTTCTTTAACTGAATGCTCAAAGGGTCTACCACTGACTTCCATTTCTGAAGGAATTGCAGAGTCCATAGCTTGATTTCTAACTTCAGCAAAATCAGATGTTACAGATTCACCATGCCTTGCTGCTAAATGAGTTGCAAGTTCAGTTTCGTGAGCTTCAGACTTGTGGTCCAAATACCCAAACAAGGGTGGCTGATTTAACTTTGTTTCAAAAGGTATAGTTGCTTTATCCTCTAACTGCTCTTTTTCTGAATATTGCTCTGCCAAAAGTTCTTCTTGCTTTTCTCCTTCTTTAACGGAAGATGGTAATCTTGCCTTCTCAAGGATGGTGTCTTTGGTTCCAGTTGAATCAAGAGGAACCTCTTGTTTGTCTGCTTCTTCAACTGAAAACTCCAAGGATGTACCACTGACTTCCATTTCTGAAGGAATTGCAGAGTCCATAGCTTGATTTCTAACTTCAGCAAAATCAGATGTTACAGATTCACCATGCCTTGCTGCTAAATGAGTTGCAAGTTCAGTTTCGTGAGCTTCAGACTTGTGGTCCAAATACCCAAACAAGGGTGGCTGATTTAACTTTGTTTCAAAAGGTATAGTTGCTTTATCCTCTAACTGCTCTTTTTCTGAATATTGCTCTGCCAGCTGTTCCTCTTCTTGCTTTTTTTCTTCTTTAATAGAAGATGGTAATCTTGCCTTCTCAAGGATGGTGTCTTTGGTTCCAGTTGAATCAAGAGGAACCTCTTGTTTGTCTGCTTCTTCAACTGAAAACTCCAAGGATGTACCACTGACTTCCATTCCTGAAGGAATTGTGGAGTCCATAGTTTGATTTCTAATTTCAGCGAAATCAATCACTTCAGGTTCAGCATTCATAACTAGTAATTCTGATGCAGATTCAGTTTCTTGAGTTTCTGGTTCCTGAACCAAAGACAAGGGTAGCTGGTCTGATTTTGTTTGTAAAAGCACAGTACATTGCTTCGGCATCATTTCTTCGTCTGAAGATTTCTTTGATAATTGTTCTTTCTCTTGCTTTTCTTTTTTTCTAACAAGCGATGGTAATTTTGCCATTTCAGGGTTAGCGTCTGCGATTTCAGTTGAATGCTTCTCTGCTTCTTCAACAGACTGCACTAAGGATGCATCTTTGATCTCCAGTCTTGAAGGAATTGTAGATTCCATAGATTGAGTTCTAACATCAGTGAAGTTACAACTTTCAGGTTCACAGGGAGTAGCTGCAATATTATGATGGTGCTGTACCTGTTGAATCGAAGTTTCTGACAACAATGTTCTAAATGAGTCAGATTGATTTTCTATTTCTGATTCAACATAAGGAAGCGGTTCAACAGGAACTGGGGAACAAGGCTGAGTTACTTGATTCTCTGATCGTGACCTCACTTCTTTTAATAAATCAGAATCTTCGAAGATCATTGGTGTATGATCCTGAACTTCCTTTTTTTCACCAACAAAGTTGAATGATTTTTCCAGTGCGGTATTTGAACTATCTGGAGAAACAGACCGTTTTTCCTTTTCTTCCATTTTGTCAGACTCAGCTGGTTGAATCAGTTCTTGAAGGGAGGGATGAATTGCAGGTGAATACTGTTTGACGTCTTGCCTCTTTGCTTTGTCATCAAGATGTGTTGAAATTTTTGGTGTCTTTTCTAAAGGCTTCTGTTGTGTTTTAGGGAGAAACAAATGCTGTGGTTTCCTCTCCTCTTTACTGTAAAGTGCAGACTTTGAACTTTTTGTCTCTACGTGTCTGAGATTATAACTCAGAACTTCCTTCTTGTTATTCTTCTCTGTGGCGTTAGGTTCAATGTGCCGTAAAGATACAGATATGCCTCGTCTGGAGAAAACTTTGGGTGGTTCTCTGGGCTTCCTGATCACCTCTGAGGGGGGAGGCATATCTTTATTGTTTATCCTTCGGAAAACCTTTTTATGCCTTTCTTCCAATACAGCAGTGATTTGAAGAATCCTGGCTCTTACTGTTCCCTTGATAGGCAGCTCCCCCTTTCTCATCAAAGTATTTTCTTTCTCCTCTGGCCCAGAGGTCACTTCCTGTGTTATTTGAACCAAATAGTCTTTAATCTTAGAAGGTTGTACTTGAGAGGGCCATGATTGTGGATCAGATGGATCGAACTCACTTTCTTCAGCTTTTTTCAGCACTGGCGTCTGACAAAAATCACATTCTTGGCTGTCTGGTTCGGTTGTCTCATTTAACGTCTGATGGGTCGAATTGCTCGGTTTTTCCTGCGTAGTCTTTCTCTCTTCCTTCAGGAAAGTAACTTTCCCCGGAGAACAATCTGGATATGAGTTTTCCATACTGTATACCCCAGATGTAATGCTGGCTTCTGAGGCATGGGATGTGGAACATCTGCTTGAATTGGTCTCCCATGTTAAGCTACTTTCTTCACTTTGAACGGCCTCCATGGCATCAGACAACTTGGATTTCATCTCTTCATTCTGGCTATGTTTTTTAAAACTGCTAAAAAAACAAATAGTAAGAAACTATAACATTCTTTAAAAAAAAACAAGAATAATAAAATATATAAATATTATACTTTTCAAAGTCTTAAATCTGTTTCATGAGACAGTACTGGGACTGAAAATCTTCCTTACCATAAGAATACAATGTTGGACTACTGTTATACGATACTCTAAGATAATTTAAGGCAGGAGAAAAAGTTGTCCAAAATAGTCCAAAATTGATTATGAATTTGTATATGTGTAAGTGAGAGGGGGATATATTTATGTTCTGCGTGCCAAGTTTCAGCAGTAAGTTTCAACCTCTTGACTTTACACAGCTTAAACTCACAGTGTGGTGTGTGGTTAGATAAGAATTTATTTGCCAAACTGGAAGAAACTACATTGACTAGCTGATTGGCCTCTGTCAATGAGAGAGTTCCTTCCTTACTCCCCAAACAATTTGAATGTATTGCTCTTTCTTTCAGCCTTCCCCTGTGTTTCATAGCTGGATGGTTGAAGCTAAGTGGTTGTCGGTTATTAACAAAATTACCGGTAATAACTTTGCCCTGAGAACTGGTGATTCTTTTCTCAGCATTCACAAAGACCATGCTTTAAATAATGTCTGCTATAGAAATGTGTGAAAATGTTGAAATATTTTCAGCTAATACTTTTATTAAGGTCAGAAATTTGTTGACCATTTCCAATGAACTAAGAATAGGTGTTTCCAGCTTCAAGAAGCTAATTTGGGTTCAGAATGGGCTATTTTTACTTAGAAGTCTTTGAAACCAAAATCTTTTGAAGGCTTTAATATGCTGAAAATTTTGATCTTGCTGGCTTAGTTAAAAAAAAAGTAGAGTTCTTAAAGGTATATGAAATACCAAAACTTCTTCCAGGTTCCTGGTATCTTTCTCATACTTTCATTAGCCTTCGATGAGTTAAGAATATTACTAATTACTAACAGCAATAGCCACTATTACGAAGGAGTCTGATGTACCATGGAACCAATCAATGTCACTTGAATCTCAGTGATCCTTAGTATTCCTAATCAAAGGAATAACATTTATGAAAAACTATAAAAATATTTTCATTTTTTTTTACCAAGACTATGTAAAACAGGCACATTGTCTTTGAAAAATAAGGTACCGTAACTACCTTAAGTAATTCTAGATCAAAACTCATTTCTCGTGTTTCTAAAATGGATATAAAGGCATAGAGGTTCCCTAGCTCAGTCACATTGAATTGTAAAGTTTATTCTGTTGGGAAATAGCATCTACAAAGGCCTGTTGTTTCTGGAAGCTTATATTCCTAACTACAAATGGAAAACTGACCCTCATTACACTTTCTCACACCATGAGTCATGTTCTAGTTTTTTTGCAGGAGGGATTTGTAGTCAAATTGAACCATAGCTGACAACTTAGAATATGATTATATGATTATATTAATCAGCCAATCCATAAGACACTTGTTTCTCCCCCACAAATAGGTTATTTCAATTTATCTATTTTTTTAAAATCCCTTTTAATATGCAGATTTCTTCCCTTGATGTTATTAAGGTCAACTCCAGGCTAGTCTTATTCGGAAAGCAATTCATTCAAATAATAGAGCAGACTGTCCCACATTTCATAATTGGATACTATTTAGTGTTCTAGTCCAAATCTTCATTTTGAAACCTTTTAAAAATGTTATTCTATTTGCCCATATTTCTTTTAGCAAAAATTGAACTTGAAGACCTCACAACTCAAGAAGCTAGTACCATTAGATTGCCACCTCAAATCTTTTATCCTGCTACATTAATTTATTTGAGGGGCCTGAGGGAGAGTTTGTTAGAGTTAAACAAAAAACGTCTGTGTGTGTGATGTTGATGTACGTATATGTGCCATTATGTATGTTCATGGGTCTATTGTAACCAATATAATACTGAAAAGGAAAAGATACAAATATTAATCTTTTCAGTGTTACAAACGATGTGTTCTGAATTAAAAATTAAAGAATAAACCAGATATAAAGTGGAAATGGGAAAAATGTCTGGAACTTTATGTTTTAGGCAGATTCTAGTATTTCTTTCATTTGTCGTATAAATTCCATAACAAAAATACAGCAGAGATTGACTAGTTGTGACTATTTCTAGATCTGGAAAAAAAAAAGATCCAATTCAAGCACATATATTTACTTGTTTGTGAGTCCGTAACATTCATTTAAAACTAACAGCCAATGAGTACTTGCACTTCCTGACCAATAGCAAAGCTCTGAAAACCTTTAGCCAATCACTGCCTGCATTAGGGTAAGCCTCTTTTTGCCCTTCCAAATTAGGCTGCCAAACAAATCCCTCCCCCACCCGTGAAAAAAGAAAAAGAGATTATATTACAACCTTGTACTCTTCCTGGAGACAAAACTTGCCTTCCAAGCATGACTTTTGCTGTCATGCCTTCCATACTTCCTTTATATAATCACACCATCCAGCTACCACATCAGGAAACCAGGAACTGAGAAGTGGGGCCAGGCAGGCATTCTCCTCAGTAACAAATCTAACCACCTTATGACAGATGGTGTTGTAGCAAAAATGCTGATGCTTCAGCACCATTTTTCATGATCTAAAACCATGGAACAGCTTAGTATGGTCAGTGGAGAGGTTCTGCTTGATGATGCCCAATTGGACCTGCACCTCCTATGATGGAAGTCATCATAGACAAAACAATTGAATAAATTGCTTGGTAATCCTCCAATTTGCCACTTTGGTTTAAACAAAAGAGAGGTGAATTCAGATGGATACCAGTAATCCATGGTATCTATCAGCAGATATTTAAATATAGAAGTTAAATCCTGGTTTGCGGGGAGTGTGTGTGTGTGTGTGTGTGTGTGTGTGTGTGTGTGTGTGTTTAGGTCTTTGGTTATTTGGGTTTTCTCCCACGTAAAATTGGAAGTATCTTGGTGACGTTTCATCGCCAAGACACTTCCAATTTTACGCGGGAGAAAACCTGAATAACCAAAGACCTACATACTAACACCCGCGAAAACCTCAGAAAACATATATATTAGCCGAATGGCTAAGAAGTCTGCCTAGTATGCAATATAGCCCAGGTTCAAATCCCAGTAAGGGCATGGCTAGCTGATGAGAGCTAAATAGCTTGAAATAGATCTATACTAGTCTCCCTTTATTTATTTATCAGCACAAATAAAAAAACACAAATATAACAAAGGCAACAGTAAAAATATTGGGTTTCTGTCATGATGGACTCTTGTGACGAGCCGATTGACAGATGATGGAAGCAGTTAGCTTCCTCCCATAATTGGGGCTTACCAGGGGTTGTAAAAATCTAATAGATACCTTTCACCCTGGCTTCGCTGATAACGGATAAGAGCCTGTGGCCTAATGGCTAAGAAGTCTGTCTAGTATGTAATATAGCCCAGGTTCAAATCCCAGTAAGGGTATGGCTAGCTGATGAGAGCTAAATAGCTTGAAATAGATCTATACTAGTCTCCCTTTATTTATTTATCAGCACAAATAAAAACACACACACACACACACACATATATACATACATACATACACACACACACACACACACATACATATATATCTGAGGCAGAAACAGGTAGCAGCTATATAATAGCTGTTGCCAGATCATTGCTTCAAGACATCTTAGGAAATACACAGATTGAACATATCCTGTGATTCAGTCCTCTTTGAGTCCACTTTAAAGACAAAGCTAGGACAAGTATCACTAATCGGCTCTACAAAGTGCTGCTTTTCTGCTCTCCAATAGATTGTTCTTGGTAAATAAAAAATTAAAAAATTAAAAGTCTATTTATAGATTATTACAAATACACACAACATGTGTGATTCTCTCCATCCTGGCAGCTTTTGGATATGTCCTCTGTTAGCTTTATTTTCACAAGAAAAGCAGGCAAGTTTCCCAGCTTGGTTTGGAGCTTTGTACAATTATACTGAGGGTCTGCTTTAGAGTTTCAGATTTATTTTAGTGAGGAATAGAAGCAGAAAGATGCTGCATCTAGACTCCTGCTTTTTATTTCCACAATAATGAAATCATGCTGGCTTAATTAGAAGAAATATTGACTAAGTACAATAATAGCAGCAAATCTTCATACTTTCTAAGGTGGTGCTCTCTGTCATACAGATTTACCACCCCCACTGCACTCTATCATCTTCAGGCTATTTTATTTATTAACTTAACTAATTAATAATTATGCCGCCTTTATATCTTCATAAGTAACGCAAAGCCAGAAACATACCTTACTCAATTCACAGTTTCCTGGGTTTTAGTCTGGCCCTTAAATACTATCAAAGTGGCTACCCTGGCAGATGTCCTCTTTTTAATTTTAAATGAGCCAAACTTCCCAGCGGACAATTATATGGAACTGGGTATCCTTGACACTCAGGAGGGAGGCAAGCATCTACAAAAGAATAAAGCAGTTTCTTCAAAATTGGGATTGGATCCACAATCCATCAATGACTGAGTTAGTTATGTGTTAGGATAGTGAAACCACAGTGCCAGATAATGTGAAGAGAACAATGTGCCCAGCTTACCAAATTCCCTATCAGTTTCCACCATCATGCTCTAAGAGGCAACCTTCCTTCTCAAATTGAAGCTTTCCTACACAGAGAAAACATCAGCAGGTTCATCTTTGTAAATTCTGACCTTGGACATCTTCAGATATAGAGTTCCATGCAATCAAAACCTCTAGGCATGTATTCAGAATACATGGAAAACAGACAATGGGCCAGTGTAACAAATATCATCTATTGCATAATATCTGCAGAGAAAGAATGACAGACATTCTCCCTCTGACAGAGATAATTCCTGTATTGATTGCAGTACACCCAACTTTTCAGCTGGTGGACACATCAGGAATTTCTATGCCAGATCTGCCTTGATGGCCACAATCTGTCATGAATATCAACATATAAGACCCAGTGATGGGATGGGTTTCCAATTTTTTTACTACCAGTTTGCTCGTGTGCACGGGTGTCACTTCTGCACATGCGCAGAAGCATCTGGGCAGGTGGACAGACCCTCCCGCCACCGTTACTACCGGTTTGCCCAATTCAGGCTGAACCGGGAGCAACCTACCTCTGATAAGACCATTGAGTAACTTCAACACCTTCATCACTGCTTCTAGCCTCTGTCCTCCTCTTCCTCCTCCTCCTCCTCTGGTTAAAACAATATAGCTGCCACCATTTTTATTCTTTAAAAATTTATATGGAATTCATATACAGTCCACTGGAGATCTGCTTTTACTTCGCAGCTGATAAGCTGGAAAATAAGAAGAATCTGTGCAAGTTTAATCAGTGTCCAGGGAGGTAACAGTGGCATGTCATATAACTGTTGAATTACTGTTCGGTCCCCTACCACATCTGTACAAAAATTGAATTGTGTCTTACTATAGTCAGATTCCTCTGTTCCCCCCAGAAACAGTGAATGATGGAAAAGTCATTTTAAGGAATGATCACAAAACAAGAAGATATTAGTGTTGTTTTTTTTTGGAGGCGCAAAGGAAGTGCTGATTTTGAAAGCCTCCATTCTGTTTCCCCCAAAATGCAATCCTACTTTCAGCACAGAGGCTGGCTGTACTGGATTTTAAGAATCTTTTAGCAGTCCCAGATTAATAGCAGACTATGATGCATCTTCTGCTCTTATGCCTCTAACTCAATTTTACCTCAGCCTACTGATAAATGTCTAGATAGATTTTGTAAAAAGCATTTATTACTATACAGAAGAAGCACACAGCAAAGTTGGGCGAGTTCCCAGAAACATCCAACATTTTTAGCAACCAACACAAGTCATTTCCATTAAGCATTGCTTTGCAGAAGCTGCACATACACAGAGAATCCATTTTGCTAATTAAATTATGCATCCATAGTGCAGAACCCAATATTCTTAGTAGACTAATACCAATTAGATATTATGAACTTATTGTCTGCAATTAAAAATGATTGTGGAAGGTTTTGTTTTAAAATAATCACAGTAATGGTAAAATTTAAATTCATTCCGTTTGTAATATATGTTTATATTTTCTGCCCCAAAAATCTAATGTACAGCTTCTGTTAATGAAATAAAGATTATCTAATTGTAACTCCAACTAATAAAAAGCAGTAGAAATTAAGCTAATAAGTCAGTTCTTTGTGTGGTTAAATTTGAATTCAAGTTTCTCCATCATATTTATCACTTGTTATTTGGCCACAACAGTTTGGGAATATTATTGGCCCACATTTTACTCTATTATAATGTCTAGACAGATAGAAATTGTAGTGAACTGCTAACATTCTGAATAACTATATAAAGGGGGGGGGGGTGCACTTAGGATTTCAATCTATGTGTTCATGCCTGAAAATAAATGTCATTGAACTAACCAGGATTTATTTCTTATTGTTAATATAAATTATTTCCATGAGAATAATATGCTAAGCAGGGGTGGGTTTCTCGCCCTGTTCCAACCGGTTCGGTTGGAACGGGGCCGGCGGCATCCTCGTGCACACGCGGGGTGCACGCATGCGTACTAGCTTCTGCGTGATGCTCCAGCTGCTCCTGGAGGATCGCGCAGGCGCTGTATGCGTCCTGCGCATGCGTGGAAGCGCAAAACT